CTAAACGAATTTTAACTATGGAGCTCATGATATAAAGTCAAAGATATAAGACAGGTTGAAAGTCTGAGATGCAGATAATACATGCTAATAATTTGAAGGGACAGTTACATTCTATTATTATCAAGAGAATCACATTACTGTGGCTGTAGAACTTTGTGTTTGATATCTATCTGAATGCACGTATTTATTCGAACAAACCAGCTACAAAGCTTCCTTAAGTTCTTTGTTTTTCTTAGCAAAAATATAATCTTACTGAATGATGTGTAACACTTATAGATTAAACAAGTTATTTTCGTGTCACCTAATAAAAAGAATTAATGGACCAACATCATTTAGTACTGGATTTGTAAATCCTACAGGAAAATATCCTGATATTTATAAAATGGAGTATAATCTTCAATTTAAAACTTGTCCAGATGGAGAGAGCTTGTTAACATTTCAGAAAAGTATATGAATGTCTTCATTATCTAGTAATAATGCAGAACAAAAAATATGAACAAAATAAGAACAAAATATGGTAAACTTTGCAGTTTACCATATTTTGATACAAAAAGGCAACGATATTGTTGGAGATACCAGAATCAGACCAAGAAAAATACCTAAAGAACTTTGCAGCGAGACTTGTCAAGAGATAGTTAAACATAAAAATACTGTAGTACAAGAACCTGTTTTAACTTGTTTTCTCACAAAAGGTAACTTGTAATTGCTAAGATTGACACCTTTAATAACTCCTTCAGTTAAAATTTTTACCCAAAGTACAGAGCATGCTGTAAAACAAGTGACATTTGCATCCATGACCATAGATAGGCCAGGCGCAAGAGATGGTATATTAGTTCTCAACATGAACAGTTGCTACCTGGGTTAAAAGTGGCTTACGTGTTAAAACGTACGGGTGTTTTGTTTTTTTGGAGGCCTGTTTTATGTGGAAAAGCCTAAAAATAAAAAAAGCTCCTCTAAAATATTTGGGGGCCCCTAATTTGTGGAGCCTGGGCATCATACTTTTCAAATTTTTGATTTTGAATTCGGCGGATGATTTTAATGGTGCCACTATATGTAAAAATGAACTTCTAAAATAAAAAAATTTGAATAAAAATTTGAATAAAATTTTTTTTACCTAGACGGGATAGCAGTTTTCGAAAAGGTAAAACTGTTCATTTATGCATAAATGCAAGAGGGGTCAAAATTTTAAAATTATTGAAATATGAAACTATTTAGATTTTTTTTTATATATTATTATATGCTGTGAAATGTAAATAATTTTTTTTTCTAAAAAAAAATAAATTTTCGCAGGGAAAAAGGCCTTATAAGATTGAAAAAATATATAAAAATTGGAATTTTTTTCATAATAAATTTTCAGACTTTATTTGTTGGAATGAAGTTTTTATAGTTCAACTTAACAACATCGTTTAGCTTTACAATATTTAATACAAAACAAATTTAAGTTAAAATATTGTCATAAAAATGTTTTGGTTTACGATTTTGATATGAAAAGGTTACTAAAATTTTTTTTTGATTAAAGCTTGGGCAAAGTTTTTATGTTATTCATTCGTGCTCTCACAAAACCGTCTTTTTTTTCAAAACCACAAACGGAAAGTGCTGCTTCTGTAACTTCTTTTACTGCCCTTTCACAAGATTGCGTGTGAAGAGGAAAGTACAGAGCTTCAAAGCAAGTGACCAGCTATTTGCCAAGATCATATGTAGAGATTTGGCACATAAACACTGGTTCTGATATTTTTTCCTTCTCCCAATCTATTAGCTCTTTGATAGACAAAGCTTCTGTATTGAGAAAAACCTTTTTTCTTGACCTTACCGCTGTGTCTCCGAACTGCGAGGTTTTCCTTATATCTTTAATTGTTTTAATGGTAAACTCCCTCAATTCTTCATCTGAACTTGACAAAAGAGTTAATATAAGGGATTCCGAGCTGGTTTTGCTTAGCGGTATAGCTTTAGGTGGTCTGTAATGAGTGAGGTATCTTCCATCAGGCTCACACGTCACAGTTATATGTTCTTCTTTTATAGTCCTAATGTGAAATTTATTTAGAGAATTTCTAAATAAATTTCACATTAGAGGATAAATTTCACGTTAGAGGATTATGTGCCAAAATAAAAGTTGAGTCCTTCCTGCCATCAATAAACAAACCTCTAATAGGTTCTTTGTCGATTAACTTTTTTTCATACATTATTACTCTCTTCATTATTTCTTACTTTCATAGGATCAACAGATAAATAAGACATATCAGGCATCAAACACTTTGCTTCAATAAGGTCTAAAAGAAAGTATGTAATAATAGCTGATGTTGCTACTGGTGAAATATCATATCTTATTGAAGCTTCTACAATATGACTTATTGACATTTTTTTTCCAAATCTTGTTTTGAAGCGGATCTTCTGAAATCTTTTCCTTTTTTAAATCTGAATAATCCTCAATTAAACATTCAACAACGTTGTCATTTTCTACCTTAAATTTTTTTTCGCGGTCTCTTTAATATCATTGAAACCCATCTGGTATTTTGAAATAGATCCTCTTTTTTTCCTTTGGGCATTAAGCCATAGAAGTTCAACCTTTGGAATTTTTTTCTCTTTTACACAAGTTCATTTAATATGTACTTGTTTGACGCAAGAATAAGTTTTCAAACACAACTCGTTACATAACATAATTTCACACTTGCACATGTTATATCTAGAAATTCATCCAGTTTTGATTCCCAAAAAGACACATGTGTCTGAGAAGCTTTCCCATGTGCTATATCTTTGATCTTGTTCCAGGAAAACTCAATTTTTTCCATCAAAGTTCTTTCCAATAACTACTGAAGGTTTAAAAAGATTTTTTTTAAACATTTGTTTTTATCTACTGCTGAAAAACGATATCAGCTAGTAGTCGAGAAAAGTCTCTCAATCAAATATTCTTTCTAAAGACAAAAATATATAATATAATGCAGAATGTATAATTTGTTTCATAAATTTTGAGTTTCTTGATTATTACCTGTTAACATCTTCTCGAAGTAGAGCTTCTTGGATAAGCAGACCTTTTCTCAAAATATCTCTTAAAGTTGGCACTTCTGACGGAATAAGATCCTTACTTCTGCCTAAATATGTTGATAACTTTGTTTCCACAGGGAGTCTTGTGTTTTTTGAAGTAGTCATAGTTAATTTAATATAATTATTAGAATTGGCATTTATATGATTGCAAATAAAAACAAGAACTCTTTGTATACAGTTTTTAAACCACGAAAAACTCATAAAAACATAATTACATAGTAAACTCATAAAACTCGTAAAAGATAAACTCATAAAAACATAATTACAAAGTTGAATAGTCTGAAATCACTTACAATTCAACCGCCAAGTGAAATAACAACATCATTATTAAGATACACTTTTAATTATAGTCATTTTAACTGATTTATAAAGACATAAAAATAAAGTCTGAAATTTTCTAGTAAAAAAAAGACAATGAATGTCCTTGTTATTTAAAAAATTTAACATTATATTTTATACTTTAACATTTTTTTTCAATCTTATAAGGCCATTTTCCCCCGCAAAAATTTAACTTTTTTAGAAAAAAAAATTATTCACGTTTCACAGCATATGGTAATATATATAAAAAAATCTAAATAGTTTCATATTTCAATAATTTTAATATTTTGATTGTTTTGAATTTTGAGTTTAATGTCTTAATCAGGACAAATTGTCTTAATCAAATACAATCAGTCAATCAATATATCAATCAATATCAATCAATTTATATTTTAGAATACAAAAGTTGTTACAACTCAAGGTCATTTACAAATAGTAATGAACTAATCCAAAGTAAATACCAGATATTAATGGCAATAACAAATAAAAATGAAAATAGTAATAACAATAATAATATTATAAATAGTATTAAAGACATTCATTATATAAGAGTAATGTAACACCAAATAATTATAACTACATTCCATACAAATGATAATAATAAATACAACACATACATAATAGCAATATTTAATAAATATTTATTAGCAAGAATAATAGTCATATAAACAAAAAATAAATTTAAATAATTTAAATAAATCATTACTAAATGCCACACAACAATCGTTTATACATACAAAGTTACAGTTAAAAACAGTAATAATATATGTTAATATAACAATCATAATTGTTGTAATATAATAACCATATAATAATATAATTACTGCAAAAATAATAAACAAATAAAATAAAAACTGATAAAAATAAAACAAAAAAAACACACACAAAAACGTTATGAAACAAAAGAACTTACAACAACAACAAAAAAAAACATAATAAACAAAACATTTAATGTAATAAAATAAACAACAAATAGTAGTACCAATAAAAAAGCATAAAAACAACAAGAAAATGTAAAAACACATAAAAATATACATCTGCTCGTTCGTTATTCGAGCAATAATTTTGTATTATTTCTTTTTTTTATTAATTTACTTCTCTATGTATTGTTATTTTTATTGTTTCTTTTGCTTTCGTTTTTTTTTTCTTTGTTTCTTTCAGTGGGAAAAATATAATTGAAATTTTCAGTCATCTTTAGTTGTAATTATTTGACTGTTTTTTACCATACGGATTTAAATTTTGCTAATTAAAACTCTTGTACTTAAAGATATATGTGTTGTCTGTCACTTTAAAACATTTTATTACAATTGTATGTACAATTGTACATACAATTGTATGTACAATTGTATGTACAAAATTTGTATGTACAACTGTACATACAATTGTATATAATATTGCTGAAACAAATAATATTGCTGAATAAATTTCACTGATTGTGGAACACAATAATAAAAAATGTTGTGCTAGCATGCTATAAGTAGCAAAACATCATCTATTAATATCACAATAGTACTATTAAAAGTGATTGTGGAACTTGTTCCACTATCTTATTTATCTATTTCAGCAATTGTCACAGCTTACCTTATTATTACTGGTATTACCAATACTATCAATATTTACTATTATTATTATATAGGGCTCACCTACAACCATATATAGCGTTAAGAGGAATACAACATATCTGGGAACCTTCCTTTACTTTTTTATTATAATGTTCAACTTTTTCTTTTGAGTCGATTTTGACGGGGTGAAAATTCATTCTACAATATTCAATAACAGACTTTTCTGCTTCATCAAAATCTCTAAAATTCTTCATGAAAATGTCCTTCATTTTTTAATCTTTGAGAATCTTATTGAAAATCTTCTAACTACTAAATTTTATTCAAGAACTCTCTTCGAAAATATACTCGTTGTTTTAAAGCATGCGCATTTTGGAAAATGAAAGTAAATTTTAAAAATATTCTAAAAATAGATTTTCACTGTACCTATCAAAAAACGCATCCTTAGGTACAGTGAATTTTCACTGTATTTATAATTAACGAAACTAAACACTCCTGATTCTGAAGATTGATTGACAAAAATATAATATTAACATTCTTAAAATCTATGTTAAAGTTTGTTTTAATAAAAGGTTTTTTGAACAATTTTTATTTGGCATAATCAAAAATATTTATTGCTTCTTCCGAATCGAAAGTTCTTTTTTTTAAGTTTTTAATTTAATGTATTTGTTAATGATGTCATTAAAGCTACTATTTCGTTAATAAAGTTTCCTAAGATAAGTATTTACCTTTCCGAAACAATTTTCAAATAGGAAAGTATTAATAAGATGTTTAAAAAATTGTTTTGTCGACTTAAGACTAAAAAGTATTCATTGGTAATAATATTAGTATTTTTAGCATTATCTATATTATGCCTCCATTTTTGGTTGATTCCCTCAGTATTTGGTAATTATAATGATACATGTTACCTTGACGAAGAAGGAAAAAACAGTCTTCATTTTATTTTAAGTACATTAATTAAATCGTTTGAAAAGTATAACGTTTTTTATTGGTTGGATTATGGTACATTACTTGGAGCAATGAGACATGGAGATATTTTATCCTGGGATCATGATGGAGATATCTCAATATTATTAAATGATTCAAATCTGGAGAATGCTCTTGCAGAAATTCGTAGTAATGGAGTTGAAGCCAATTCAATGGTTGCACAGTTCAATGGTTTTCATGTAGACATTGTAAGATGGAACAAGTATAAAAACAACAATGGTGAATGGATTCTTGAAAAGTACTACCCACCGTGGAATCAAGATAATTCATTTGTAAAATTACACAGAAAATTTGAATCATTTTCATTTTCTTTAGTTGAAAGAAGAAAACATGTTTTGTTTATAAATCAAACTTCATCTGTTCCTTTAGACTCTGAAAAACTTATTAAATTTCGTTATCCTTGGACATGGCGAGTATCATTTCCTTACAAATGGAAATGTTGGTTTTCATGGTTTAAATAAACTTTGTTATAAATTTTTTGACTTATTTTATGTTCTTAATGGCAAAATATTTTAAAGGTAATGCTTTTTTTATTAAAATATTAATTAATAATATTAATACATTATATATAGAATGTATATAGTTAAAAGATATTGTTATTTTTTTTTCAGATTGTGTTTTACTAAATCAACGTTTAATTTTGATATAATTTTTTAAATCTTATATGTTTTGTAAATTTTATACAATAATAGAATCTTGTATTTTATTTTTTTATAATCAAACATGTTTTTAAAACTGTTATACATTTTTGAGGGTGAGATTTTTTAAATATATATTTGATATGCATATTAATTAGTAATTAAAATTTGAGATTTATTTTTAAATTAAAGTATGATTTTACAACTAAAAGTGAAAAATTGAAAGTTATATTCTTTTGTAATTTTACAATGGTGTAGTTGTTTTATTATATAAGTGAATTATTGGTGCTGTAAAATCTAAATAGTATTAATACATATATTTAATTTTGTGGTTATTAAGGTGTTCCCAGATATCTTTATAGTTGCATTTTAGAGTACAACTGAGCATTTAACTAGAAAGCTCACACCTACTTTCTGATCAACGTTGATTGACCGTTTATTGGGCTGACCTGTAGTACAGTGGTTAGAACCTCTTGGTTCTAACCACTGCACCACGGCTGCAGTGATTATATATATATATATATATATATATATATATATATATATATATATATATATATATATATATATATATATATATGTGTATATATATATATATATATATATATATATATATCTTCTCTATTTGACGAGCCCTTTTGCGCTCTTGCAGATTTGCCCTCGCCCACATGCCCTCCATTACTACAGCTGGCGCTTTTTAAACGCTTGCCATAAAATTTCAAGCATGCTTTTAAATTGCAACAAATCTTTTTTCTTAATCGTATTCTAATTAAAGAGGTACAAAAAACAAATATTTTTTAAAATTGCGCATGCCAGACAAATAATTTCTGTCTAGCCAGCGCTTTTTTGTGCACTGGTAAATTTCAAACAGACCAGACTGATATATATATATATATATATATATATATATATATATATATATATATATATATATATATATATATATATATATATATATATATATATATATATATATATATATATATATATATATATATATATATATATATATATATATATATATATAATAGGGATGTGACTTTTGGTATCTCAAGTTTTAAATATAAAAAGCAGATGAACTTTGGTTTGAAAGTAACTTAAAAGTCATTGGTTTTATTTAATTTTTGATAAAGGTCACCCACCATGACCCTCGATTACACACTGGCTTCCATATATCAGTAAAAAAATTTTCTTCAAAATATATCAACTGGGTCTCAAAAGAACCAGAATTTTAAAAAAATTTCAAAATTCGTAATCTTTTCTACTGAAACATTTAAACAAAAATATTGCAAACAAAATGTCATAAAAAACGACCTTTCAAATTTAAAAAAATTGTTTTTTGTATATAAAATTAAAGCAAATCATATGAAACCATTTTTATTTGAAATCCCTATGAAATTCTGGTTCAATTACTTTCAAACCAATGTTTATCTGTTTTTTATATTGAAAACTGGAGTTACCAAAAAGTTACAGCCCTAATATATATATATATATATATATATATATATATATATATATATATATATATATATATATATATATATATATATATATATATATATATATATATATATATATATATATATGTGTGTGTGTATGTATATATCCTTATATCTTAGTCGAAAGAGACTATTAATGTATAAAAAGTCTCTTTCGACTACAATTTTGCTACTTTGATAATTAGGCTACATTTTATTGTCGTCAAAATGTCAAAGCAGTTAGATTTATGCGAAAGTACATTTAATTTTAAAAAAATCACAATAATAATGACTAGAAAGTTTTTTTAAAATAATGGTGTTTTTGTTGTTGTTTTATTAAAAAATATATTTAAAACATGCGCGTAGTGTTGCTAAATTGACATCTTATAGCCTGCTGCTACAAGGGAGTGATGCTACATCGACTATCTTATAGCCTGACTCGCAACAGAGTGTTGCTACATCGACTATCTTATAGCCTGACTTGTAATGGAGTGTTGCTACATCAACTGACAAATAGCCTTACTCGCAAGGGAGTGCTGCTACGTCAACTGAAGGTTTGGTTAGGGTAGGCAGTCTATCATTTAATAAAAAATGAAAAATAATTATTTAAGTTTTTAACCTATTTGTGGTCTGATATATATATATATATATATGTATATATATATATATATATATATATATATATATATATATATATATATATATATATATATATATATATATATATATATATATATATATATATATATATATATATATATATATATATATATATATATGGGGGTATGTGTTGTGGGAGTATGTGTTATTTGTGTGGCTAGGTTTGTATGTGTGTTTGGATACATGTGTGTTGTTTGTGTGGATATGTGTGTTTTGTGTTTTTGTTGTATGTATGTGAATGTTTTAAAAAATACTACTAAAAAACTTTTTTTTTCTAATAGTAATAAAGATACTACTGAAAAAAAAAAGTTTATTTTATTATTTGATCAATAGTTTGGTTTTTGGTATTTAAGATAAATTTTAGCATGAATAAACTTGTGTACGTTAAAGCATTTATTAAATGATGATGCTATGCCAAAAATTGAAGTGATTGGAGTCTGGCAGCAATAAAAGCTTTGAAGTGTTACCCTCTGTCTTACCCCAAGCTCAAAGAAACAAAATAATAGCACTTTTTTACGCTAAAGAAATTTTATTTTCTTCAAAGGTTTTTAAATATATAACTATATCTTAGTATTCAATAAATTCAACTATAAAATTGAAATCCTCACTTTTAGTTAATTTGAATTGTCAATGACCAAGAAAACCTTTTTCTCTATGGTCATATGTCATAACTTTCGAACTCTATGAGATTATTGGATAAAATTAAAAATACAAATTTAATTTATAATTGAAAAAAAACGTTGTCATTATTTTTTTAATCATAAATTCATGATAAGAGCGTGCTTAATCCCTAAAAGCACCGCTTCTTTTTTTTATGGGATTAATTGTTAACAAATGTTGGTGTTTTTTAACCACGTACAGTAGCTCGAAGAAAGCTGAAAGCGCCAAAATTATTTACATATAAAAAAACAAATGTTTTTTGTAAATGTTGTTTGCGATAAAATTAAATTTTTTTGAAAGTTTTTTTAAAAGTTGTTTGCAACATGGAATTTGAACGTAATCTCGCAATTTGATCGTAATCTTGCCATTCTACATTAAATAGTGTTCAAGATTTAAAAAAATAAAAACACCAAGGTATAACACTGGTATATGCGTTAATAATGTATAACGAAAAATCGTTTTTACAGCCAATTTTTTGATTTTTTTAAATTTCTTTTTCTAAACTTCGTCAGCAAATATCTAATGTCATACAGTTTTTCTTTTGATTCTTCAAAGTAAGATCTTAAATAATATTTATTGTAGACTAGCAAGACTTATAAAACTTTAGAAAAGTTCAATATCCGGCAAAAATAAAATTCCCCCTAAAGGGGGAATAGTAACCACAATAAACACATAAAAATGGGCAAAAAATGCATTCACACCGGCCGTAAAAACTAAATAACTGTGCAAGGTCTCTTAAAGAGTTTTCACCAAATGCTTCACAAAAGGTCAAAGGGTGTTTTAATAGCGACATTTTCCCATAACTAAAAATCTGAGCGATGTGTGCACATTTAAAGATAAAAAAAATATTTTTTCTTCAAAATATTACAAATAAAAAAATCTAAACCTCAATTTAAAAAATTGTTTGTATTAAACCATAGTTTATAATCATAAAAGCAACTCCAGAAAATTTCATCAAAATTGGTAAAACGGTTTTTGAGATAAAACAGCCGGCGTGTGAAAAAAGACTATTTTAAGAAAACGCAAAAAGAGAAAAAAATTAACACATACTACTTTAAAACTTTAAGTAAAAAACATACTATAGTTAAATCATCTAATAAAAAGTATTAGAAACCTCCTGCTTCATACAACTTCCCTTCTTTTTCTTTTTCTTTATTATTTTTCTTATGCTTTTTGCCACAAATAATTTTTTGTCGCTCTTTGTTTTTATCAATATTTCTGTATTTGGAACATTACAGTCGTTTATAGTTTAAATTTTTACAACCTTTAAGAGTGTATACTCCTGGAATTATGTCGAAAGATTGATAAACTAAAATCAAGGCTTTTCGACCAATGATAAAATTAGCCACTGCATCATAAACTTCGAATTCTAATTGACTAAATGATATAAATTTCGTTTTAGGTAAACGCTCCCAGATAGTGCCATTAAAACTTTCATTAGTATTTTGTGTATTACCATGTAAGCACTTTTCCAAATGTTGGTCAGCACTGAGTTCTTTAGATTTTATAAACATTAGCTGTTGGTAAACCTGGTCCATGTTTATAAGTATTTGTACCGTAGGCTTTATCTGAATTATATTTGCACTAAATATCAGCTCCTACTGGGCAATGTAGAAAAAATGTAAATTATTCTCCTTGTTGGAGGCTCACATGATAAAGTGATGCCAGAGTACCAGCTTTCATAGATGCTAAATTTCCTACATTAGCTCTAATTGCAATACCCAAATAATTTTGTAACCAATCAATTATCGCATCTGTTAATTTATCTCTACCACCAAGGTTTTTAGTTTTTTTCTTCAACTTTCTTATTCTTATACCTATACGTTTTTGATAATGTCCAACACACTCAAGTTTTTTTACTTCCGAACCAGGGTAGACATTCATAACATTTAAATAGCTCTTACTGTCCCCATCATTTAAATAGTTTACATAGCAAAGCTTGCGTTGCTGTAATAGAACGTTCAAATATTTTTTTCATACCAACTAGCTCCATACCCTACAAGACCCTTTGTTGTCATATGCACACTTATCTACGTTTTTCCTCTCACCAAAATGTAAAGGTTCACTTTTTTTTTTGATTTCATTAAAATACAAGCTTTACAAACTTTTCGTATTGGTTCTACGTCCAATACCTTTCCGCTATCAATAGATATTGCAGTCATTACGCCATTGTATGGTGAAAAACCTCGTCGTTTCTATGTCCCATTACAT